TGGGGGTTGTTTGTACACGCGAATCTGCTGGGCGTTGCGGGTTCCTGTGTGCTTCCATGCGGACAAGTGGCCATGCTTAGGCAGTTTAGGTGAGGAAAAAGGATAACAGCAGTGAAATCCTGATCTCTAGCCGCAATTTTCCTAGGTTTACGGGAGGGCTTGAACCAGTTAGTGGCTGGTTCGTAAGCAGACCCTACCTTGGGCAATGATGCGCATGTCGCGGTCCTGCAGGGAGGATCGTTTTACAACCTCCACTTTCTGGTGATATGCCCAATAATGAGCCACCATGTTTTTATCAGAACCCTATACTTTACCATGTTAACCCACAATAGCCACTATACAGTCCACAAATTTCTATATATTTAAGATACAATATAGTAAATCATCGGGGTTACCTCCTCACAATCCCCAATAATGAGGTTTCACCAGTTTCACCCCATCATCTGATGTGGTGAAACCTTCAAAAAGCAGCATCCCTCATATGGGGACCTCCCATCGACGCCAAGGTTGACTCAAGATGAAGCTGCAGCGATCGTGGAAAGCATCATCCATGGCATCGACGGCTTGAGCAAGGCTGCGCCTTGGATAGAAGTCCCGGCGCCCAGAGATGGGTGGAAGTCCGAGATTGACTTTCAAATGGCTATATTAATGGGGGTTAATACTTCATGATCGGAAATAGGGGAACATGCTAATGACGACACATATTTTTGTTTGGTTAACCGATTTTGAGAGACACCGAGATGAAGACCACAGCACCCTAAGAATTGATTCTTTAGGGGAGGTATCCAGAAGCTTTTTGAAATACACAAAGTCACAATGCAAATTTTGTGGTTCATGGTGAAATATGGTTCACAATCATGAAATACTGGGATAGCAACAGGGTATGAAATGTTGGTGCATTGGCTTTCAAACATGGGAATATCAGCAGCCGTAGGCCATGGTAGGCTCATGGTCGGGATCAAATTTGATGGTTCAATGGATTTGTTTGAAAGGAAAGGTGAACATGGGTACAGTTATATACAGTTATCAGCAACTGGAATTACGTAATTTTTGAGAGCGGTGGGATGTAATGAGGTATGAGGCTGTGAGATTTATTGGTCAATGAATGGATTAGTTTATATTTTCGAAGGAAGTTTAGAAGTCAAACTTCTGACAATATGGACAGATGAAAAGCAGAGCAGGGCAGAGGCAGAGAGAGAAGGGACAAGATTAGAAGAGAGAAGAGTAGAAGAGAAAGAGTCAGAAGAAAGAAGATGCAGATGCGCGAAAAGGTAGGAAAGCCGCGAAACACTGTGTTTTTCCAATGATTTGAGCCTCCGGAGGGTCCAAAAGTAGGCTCGCTAAAGCGGCGGGTGCGGAGCCAGCTGGTCAGATGAGAGATGAAAAATTGCACGCCGTTGTGGCGCGAAGCGCGTTTCGAAGTCAAAATGTACAAAGCACATCAGCGTCGGACCACTTTTGGAAGTTGCGAGGTCGAAAAAGTGCACGCCGTTGTGGCGCGAAGCACATTTCCAAGTCAAAATGTACAAAACACCTCAGTGTCGGACCACTTTTGGAAGTTGAGATGTCGAAAAAGTGCATGCTGTTGTGGCGCGAAGCACATGTCCATATCAAAATGTAGAAAACACACCAGCATCGGACCACTTTTGGAAGTTGAGATGTCGAAAAAGTGCACGCCGTTGTGGCGCGAAGCACATTTCGAAGTCAAAATGTTAAAAACACTACATGTTCGCGCCACTTTTGGATGCTCAGATGTCGTTCCGCCTGGCAGGTGCAAGGGATTGTCAATCTTGTCAAAAGTGAGCAAAACGTGAGGGTTTTGTAGCATTTCCAAAAACAATGGCAGGCGTGGGACTTTTGAAGAGGACCTGCAAAGATGCATTTTCCATGGCAGGCACAGTACAAAAGACATGTTCATGAGATATGTTAGGAGGTCAGGGCGCTCATTTCCTGAGAGGGGTTGCATTTTGGAGCATCAGGTCTGTAGGTTTGCTAAGATGATTTTGCGTGACAGGTGCAGCACTTCGTATGACTTGGCATCAATGTTTCGTGGCAGGCGCAGTACTTTAGATAGGTGGAGTAGAAAAATCGCAGAACGCATTGGTACGAGGCTGTCAGCGCTGCACTCAACTTTCCATTTTTGAAGGAAGTCTCGCAGAATTGTTTCGTTTTTGATGTTGTCAACTTCGAAAATTGAGGAAGTCTCGCAGAATTGCTTCGTTTTTGACGTTGATTTAGAAGCTTACAGATAGACAGGTAGATAGATAGACAGAGAGACAGAGATAGAGAGAGTGAGAGAGATAGAAAGAACGAAAGATAGATAGATAGATGGATGGATAGATAGATAGATATCATTGATAGATCGGTAGATAGGTAGATAGATAGAAAGAGAGCTAGCTAGATAGATAGATAGATAGAGCGAGATAGAGGGATAGATAGAGAGATAGATAGAGAGATAGATAGAGAGAGATAGAGAGATAGACAGATGAGATAGATGAGATAGATGAGATAGATGAGATAGATGAGATAGATGAGATAGATGAGATAGATGAGATAGATGAGATAGATGAGATAGATGAGATAGATGAGATAGATGAGGTAGATAGATAGATAGATAGATAGAAAGAAAGATAGATAGATAGATAGATAGATAGAAAGATCGATAGGTAGATAGAAAGATAGAGAGATAGAGAGATAGAGAGATAGAGAGATAGACAGACAGACAGACAGACAGACAGACAGATAGATAGATAGATAGATAGAGAGAGAGATAGAGAGATAGATAGATGAGATAGATGAGATAGATGAGATAGATGAGATAGATGAGATAGATAGATAGATAGATAGATAGATAGATAGATAGATAGATGAGGTAGATAGATAGATAGATAGATAGATAGATAGATAGACAGACAGATAGATAGATAGATAGAAAGACAGACAGATAGGTAGATAGATAGATAGATAGATAGAGAGATAGAGAGATAGATAGACAGATAGATAGATAGACAGATAGATAGATAGATACACAGTTGGATGGAGAGATGAGATAGATAGATAGATAGATAGATAGATAAATAGATAGACAGATAGATAGATAGATCGATAGATAGATCGATAGATCGATAGATAGACAGATCGATAGATAGAAAGATAGATAGACAGATAGACAGGTAGATCGATCGATACATAGATAGATCGGTAGGTAGGTTAGTTGATAGTCAGAGAAAGAGAGCAAAAGAGAGAGAGAGAGAAAGAGTGAGAGAGATCAAGCACCTTTCAGTCCATCAGTGGCTTCGCTCTGCCATCCCTGATTCACAACAACCAACCTCTCCTATAGGTTCCCTATTTTTGAAACTTCCGCCACCGCCTTGTGTGGTACTACTGTTAAATCATTATAAAACGTTTTCAGGAACACCACACATGTTACAAACATGGAAATTATGGTGGTTTCCTCAGACTTCAACACGGAAACAATGCATGGAAGAACCTCCCACCATGGACCTGGAACCATCAGCTCAATCGAAATCATGGTCTTAGGAAGGCCCAAGCAGGCAGCAGACGGCAAGGCAAACAACTTTACTGCCATACCATCCTTTCTACAGAACAGCGCGGCAACAATGAGAGGGTTGACAGTAGGCAAACTAATGTATTGCGCCGTTCTGTTGGCATTGTTTCAAATGCAGCGTCAGAATTCTGCAGGACACGTTTCGCCAAAGAAAGAAGGTCAACAAATTCTCAAACATGTCCCGTACCATGTTTGGAACCCAAGGGCCCCAGGCAAAAGATCAAGTTGAACCAATGTTGGCGCAACCCCCGCTTCGCTCGGTGCAGTGATGTTCAAGCTGTTGTGCATCCCGATCATTCCATTGCTGGTTTCTGGAGCAGTTGGACATGAACCAAATGCCAAGAAGGCAGACCAACATAAAACCCATCCATCTAAATTGGGCACTGTCAGTGCAGTGCTCAGGCCGCGGTGTTGAGCAAGTGATCCCTTAGTTCAGCTTGGTCTACTTTTAATTTGCCCTGAGCCTCCATCAGTGGTACCTGAGCCTCCGATTTCAGGATGTGGACGAGGTCAAGGCCTTGAAAAATCCGCCGAAAGCGGTGAAGACTGTGGTGCCTTGATGTCGGTGAAGATTTTTGGCCGGAAAATATGACAACAAGGGACTTTGCCATTTGAATACTGGATAAATGAAGATGAACTTAGAATTATCCATTCAAATTATATATAGAGGATATTGGAGGTGCACTTGGATATATTCATGGGTAACAGCATTCTTATTTTCCAGTGAGTTGGGATATGACACTTGATCTACGATGATCCTACATGGGGCAAGTTATGGCAAGTTTGGCACCCTGAAAGTGAGGAAACACAGAAGATACCCTTTGGTAAACTAACAAAAAACAATGGAAAATCACCATCTTTAGTAAAATCAACTATAATTGGGCCATTGTCAATAGCTATGTTAAATTACCAGAGGGTAGATTGATAGACTTAACAAGGCTTGGAGCCGAATGTGAAGTTACATATCTAGACTGGATGGATACCAGGGCAGTTAGACTCTTGTGTTCTTTTGGGGTTGGGATGGGTAGACGACAAAACCCACCAAATTCATCTTTAGCAGGGATCAGCAAATGCCAAAGAGAACAGAGCAAAGTCAGATTTCGTTTTGGTGATGTTTTTATTTCCCAACCGCTCGGACCTGGAAAAAGAGTCACGGATGTGGACGTAGGAAATGTGATCTGGTGGGTCAGACTTTATGACCCACGTTTTTTTGGCTTTGTTTCCTACAAGGGATCTACATGATCTACTGCAATGTGGTGCCCCATAGTTAGCTAAGTTGGTGAACATAACTACAATATACTACAATAACTAAGAGTTTATTGTAGATATATCATGATATATCTATAGTTACTTGGGGCTATAACACTTTTTTTCTTGGTTCCCTGGTTCCCGTGTTTCGAGACGTGTCTCGAAACGGCCGATGGAAACACAG